TACACCATGATGTACATGGGGGAGCACTGCTTCTCGTAGCTATTTCTCATGGAAAGCTTCAGCATCCCCAGCACCAAGGAGGGGTCAGGGGCACTGAGACAGGTGGTGCTCTCCAAGACAGCATCTCCTCTAGAAGCAAGGGCTTGCAGCACTACCATGGCCTGTTGGGAGCTAACCTGGCACCCAGCACTTGCATGTACAATCCAGTGCTGGCTGGTACTGCCACTGACCCTCCTTCTGCGTGGCTTTTGGGGATTATTCCTCACTTTGGATGAGCTGCATGGAACAGATGTCAGAGGCATCCCTGCAGTTCAGGTGTTTCAGAGCCTGTCTACAGCCACAGAAGTCTATTTCAAATTCATAGGGGTCCTCCACAAAGGTCTTATCTCTTCCTACCCCATCCTCTTAAGCCTTCCATGCTGAGTCTCCTATTGCACCTTGGACAAAAGCCAAGCTCATTAGCACCCACAGGAACAAGTCATTAGCTCATGTTCAGCTCAGTTGAAAGAAGGGCCCTGGATTCCTACAAGCCAGCCTGTATCTGGTGTGACGCCACAGCCACATGGCTGGCGCTCCATCATCCTGCACCGTGAAACACCACTTGTCACATCTGGAGCTCCCTCCTCCAGCAGCCTTTACTGCATTCTTCATTTTGATGCCTTGTTCCAGGTTTTAGAGAGCTGCAAGTCCCCTATTGCTCATTAGCAGGCTCAGAAAAACGGCTTTTATAGACCCATGTATTAAACAAATAAAAGACGTCAAGCAAACTTAAAAGCACATCCAGCTGCTTGCAGATTTACAGCATGCACATTAAACTCTCATTAAATGTACTTTTATAAAGGGTGGCTTTATTTTCTGAATCTGAATACCTGTGACAGTGGGAAGTGGGGTTATTGAAATATACTGGCTAAATGAGAACATTTACCAGCATAAAGGCCACATCTCAGTGACAATGCAGAGCGCACTGGGTGTTTTGTGGGCTGTCATGCAGGAAGGTGCTCTCGGCCTCTCTATCAGGGAGTTTATGAAGCAAATAAACATTTTCTTGCTGTCTGGCTTCCCTGCTTGCCCCCACCTTCTTTTTGTCTCCTAGGAATGGACACTAAAACTTTCAGGACAGTAAAAATGTCGCTATTTTATCAATTTGATGTCTTCGTGCATCTTGAAATAACCTCGTCTCAAATCCCACATTTTGAAACTGAGGTAGATGAAATAGTGATTTGATCCAGAGGAGGCCATGAGGATGATCAGGGGCTGGAGCACCTCCCATACTAAAACAGGCTGAGAAAACTGAGGCTGTTCAGCCTGGAGAGAAGCTGCGTGGAGACCTCAGAGCAGCTTCCAGTGTCTGAAGGGGGCTCCAGAAATGCTGGGACTGTATCAGGGACTGTAGTGGTAGGACAAGGGGTGATGGGTTCAAATTGAAACAGGGGAGATTTACATTAGATACAAGGAAAAAGTTCTTTACTGAGGGTGCTGAGGCGCTGGCACAGGGTGCCCAGAGAAGCTGTGGCTGCCCCATCCCTGGCAGTGTTCAAGGCCAGGTTGGACACAGGGGCTTGGAGCAAGCTGCTCTAGAGGAAGGTGTCCCTGCCCGTGGTAGGGGTTGGAACTTGATGATTTCAAGGAACTTTCCACCCCAGCCATTCTATGATTGCAGAATGTGCACAATACTGGGGTGGGGGTACAGGTGCTGTGGTGTAAGCTGCAGGACCACCAGCAACTCCCGCCAGTGCTGCACTGAAATGTCTTGAAACCAGATGTTTCTGCTGCTGGTCCTTATTGCAGCCAAGGCTAAAGGTGCACCGTGAGAAGGTTTGCAGAAGTCATGGCTATCACTTCACTCTGACATCTTGCTGTGCTGGCAGAGTTCTTTACAGACACACTCTGCAGACACAGCAGAGACACCTGTGTTTGCACCCCTCTTTCCTCACTCACTATCCCTTGAGCTATGCAGAGGCAGAAAAGGGAATCTGCTCACTGTGGCATATTTGCTCATCAGATACTATATTGATATGGACAAATGTAAGCAAACAGAATTGGTTTATGCTACATTAGAATTTTTATCTGCAACAGTAGTCCATTTATTAGTGAATAATCCAGGCTATTAAATGCTAAAATCCCTTCTTTGACTCTGAAAGTCACTGAGCCATACTTTGCTAGAGGCTGAGAGAGTGTGCTGAGCAAGCCCTGGGGCATGCTGATCTTCATCCTTCCAACTGGGAGAGATGTGAGGGTGGGGACAGGCCTGCACTCTGACCTGATCTCCCCAGCCTCATTTTCTGATAATAACATTTTTCTGATAGGACTCCTATGTATTCCATTCCTTGTTGCAGAAGCAGAAAGTGATTTGATAGCAGAAGAAATGGTTTATGTCTTCAGGGCCCTATTTTCTGAATATGTACATGCAATTCTTGGCAATAATCTAGATTTTGTATGCAAATTGGGTCACTCTGTGTGTAATTGCCCTTTCAATGCATAATTGCCCGTGGGCAGGTTTTGTGGAAGATCACATCAACTGCATGTGCAGGTGAGTCCCATATTTCTATTCACTTCAGGAAATGTGCACTGGCAAGAATTTAAAACCAGACACCCAAGAGGGAGGAGGACTTCTTAGCAGGATGGAAACAATGAACATTTGGGCTGCGATCAGCAGGCAGGATTTGGGGAAGATTATGAACCTGAGAAACAGAAAATATTTGTGATGCATGTTCAGGATACCCTGTGGCAGGGGCAGACTTGAAGGAAGGCAGCATGAGCTTTCTAAACCTGGGACAGTGATGGCTGGGCTTGGAAAGGATGGCTCATGTTAACCATTCCCTCTTCAGCCTAGTGCAAGGCAATTGAGGCATAGAAGATGAGGAAAAGTCAAATACTCCTCCTTGGGTTTTCATTCTTTATGTGAATAGTGAGATGGGGAAGGGCTGAAGCAGTTTTCCTTCCAGCAGCATGGATTTCAGTGTGCTTAGGTCTATGGGACATGGCAGCACCCTGCCTGTTCTGGGATGGATCTGAATTTTAGACTACCCTGCGCAGAGGCCTTTATTAGTGAACACCCTTTAATCACTTTGCAGGGAGGCTGACACTTGGACAAGTGCATCCCATTTCTCAGCTCTCCCAGAAGTCTGCTGCTTCATTCACAGCAGAGACCAGATCAGCCCATACTTGATTTTAAGCATGTTTGGTTTCTGTTCCAATTGATAGGAATGCTGGGTACTGAAGAGCTTGCTGAAATGGGTCCAAAGCACCAGAATGATGAGGATGGGAGAGGCATTTTGATATCACAATTAGAGAAAACTTGCTCCAGGGCCTCTAAGGAAATCTCATAAAACTTTGGTGAGTTCTTACCAAAATCTGAAGCCATTTTCCCTTCCCCAGCATTTCTACCTTACTTTTAAAGGCACTTTTTCTGAAGATTTACTGTTAGAAACCTTCTACTGAGTTCATTTGACTGCTCCATATTTCAGAAACAATATGGGAACAGCAAAATCTCTCTTTAGGCTCCATTATCTTAGACTCTTATTGTCAGCATAGAGTTATAAAGAACCAAGACTACCTTTAAACACTGAATAGCTTAAGTGCTCAAAACATAAAATGAAAGCACTAAACATATCAGTTTTGTATAAAAAACGTGCCCCTTTTCTCTTGTAATAAACAAATACATATATAACAGCAACCAAAATAAAGCAGGTAAATGCTTCAGCTCCTCTCCTTGGAGTGCTGGGCTGTATCTGCTCGATGTATGGAAATACATCACTTGTGTTGACTTTAACCTCCGTACCAGGAATGAGAGTCACCACCTATTCACATCTGCTGGTGGCAGAGTGGGTCATTTCAAGGGGCAGCAGTGCAGGAAATACTGTCTGTGGCCCTGGGGTCCCCTCGAGCAGTGTGTGCATCCAGCAGAGCTCCGGGGATTTTCTGTTAGTCAGCCACCGTCCTGTTGCTGATTAAATTCTTCTGGGCAAACCGTGTCCATCTGTGATAAATTTGGTAAGATAAATGATCTTTCTAGACAAAGGAACTGCAGGATACCCCATCTATCTAGACCAAAGATATCATTTGATATAGAGCCACATGGGAAATTATCAGCTCAAGTGAAAGCGCTGAGAATTTATACAGGAACTGTAAAGTGGGTACAGTGCTGGCTGAAGGGGAGACAGTGAGAGGGAGTGATCGTTCTGAAGTGAGGCTATTGGTAAACATCCCTGAGGATCAGTAGTGGGACTGAGCATATTTCATTTTTGTATTGACCCTGGAAAGGAACGCTGAGTATGCCAGTGTCACAGCCCATGAGATGGTAGGAGCATCGTCAATGCAAACCAGGATCGGGCTCTTAACTGAAGACTGACCTTGAACGCTGAAGTAATAGAAAAGGCACAAAATGCACTAGTTTATAAGGTATGGACAAGTATTTATGGAGCAGCAGTGACAATTTCAGCTATTTTTTAGAAATGACTGAGGATGAGGAAAAACCCAAGTGCACTTGCATGTCTATTGGTTAACTACTAAGTGCCAGAAGAAAAACTGATCAGATATACCCAAGTTGGATTTCCAGTTTAGGCTGGAAGTCTAGGGAAGCACTAAGCTGATTTTACTGAGTCTGACCTCATCAGAAGAGTGTGCACAGTTCTCTTCCCCTAAGCATGAGAGTGAAGAATTCAAATAGTAAATGGTCCAGTGAGGGGATTTAGGACAATCAGAGGAATGCAAGGGCCATTCATCTGAGAGAAGAAAAAAGCACTGAGTTTAGCTAGGTAAAGACTAAGAGTGGAACGTGCAGGGAGGCAAACACCCAAAGGAGAAAATTACTGCTGAGAAGAAATAACAGCGATAAGGACGAATAAGGCATGAAGACAAATGGATTAAATAAGCTAAGAATTACTTTAGGCTTGAAATTAGAGCAAGTCTGTATAGCCAGAAGTGGGACAAACACCTTTAACAGCCATGTAATATGAAGTGCGAACAGTATATTACCATGTGTTTTAATGGATCTGCAAGAAACCGACAGGACCTGGGTGTCAGGACCACAGAACATATTCCTATGCAATGTTTATTGGTAAGGACTGGGCACCCCGAGTACTGTGTGCTGGAGTATGCTGTGTAATGGCAGCCCACATGCATGTAAAGAAGATATTTACCTATAGGGAAGTCTGAAGAACAAGTACAGTTCCTGACACATACATCTTTGAAGGTAAGCAGAGGGATTCATGTCTGAAGAAAACTGCTATTCAGCATTATCATTTTACACCTGGTTTTAAACAGTTAAGCTGTGAAGTGAAGGAGGCAAAAGTCAGATCAGGAGAGTTACCTGCCTGGTCACAGGCTGTGAGTAGCAAAGAGCTGTAATGGGCAGGCTGTGCACATGCGTGAGCTCAGTGCTCCTCAAGGATTCAGAGGACACTTACAGAAAAAGCATGTTTTTGCCAAAACTGACTCAGGTCATGAATGATTCATGAACAGAAAACAAGGCTACATTCATCAGATAATTTGTATGTAAACCACTAATTCCACCAGCTACAGAAATGAGCCCGTATCCCTGGAGGTCAGAGCTGTAATGAGCCGCTAGCAGTGGGAAGGATGCCTTTATATTTATGCCCTGTGATATTTTCCCATTAGGCTGTCACCAGCCCCTCGGTGGCCGGTACAGGAGATGGTTTTGCTGTTTATCAGCGTGGACCATCCTGGCTACCAGCAGCTGATGCACAGACTTTACTGGGGTTTGCTCCCCTGGTGCAGCAGTGCTGGGGGTGCCAAGCTCATCGCAGAAGCTTTGATTTGAGCGGAAGTGATGTGCTCACTGAAAGCCAGAATCCTTGTTCTCGCTGTAACTGGGCTGTGCTGGATGGATGGGACCACAGGCATGCTGCCTGAGCTTACATCTACTGCAGTTTGCTGGGACAGAAAAAGGCTTCGAAGTCTTCCCCTGTCTGCAAACCTGCTCTGTGACAGAGATCAAGGTCAGTGGGGATAAGAGACCTCAGCTCTCTGTTGGATTTTCCCATTGCCCTGTCTAAGACAACCCCAGTCTTCTGGAGCTACAGTGCCTCCAAAATTAGTCACCTTTCTCATGCTTCTTGAGGTCTGTTTGTAAGAGTCCTGACCCTGTTCACTTTCTGTGTGATGCAAGCATTTGCCCCATGGCTGGTTGACTAGCAAACAAAGAAATCTGTTTAAACCAATGTTTTTAGTATCCTTCACTACTACTGATCTATCAGTTTAGTTGCAGAATAGTCCTGAACCTGCTGCAGAACATAATAAGCAGCAGAAATATATTTCCCCTTGCACTAAACGGTGTTAAACCTATGGAATTTAATTGAGTATGTTCACCCACCTCTACTCACCTTGTATCAAGCAACTCTTACAGCTTTTTAAACCTCTTTCTTTAGAGGAAACTAGGCCAGATGGACATTTGGTCTGACCCAGTAGTGCTGCTATTATTTTTTTTATTAGAAATAGGCTGAGTTAATAGCAAATTAATTCTAACTTGTGGCTGGAGCTGCTCCAAGGCTGTGCAGCTGCAGAGCATCAAGACCAGAGGGGAGCACACATTCCCTAAGAGTCTGGCATCCCTTCCGCATTGCTTGACCCCCAGGGAGGATTGCAGAGGAGAGGCAAAAAGTCTTGTAATACCAGTGGGCAAACCAGAAAAACCTGTCGCTCAGATCTACTTGCAGATCATCCATCCTGGACCTAGGAAGCCAGCCAAAAGGCTTGATGGGTATTAATAATGGGAATGTGATCTAACGCTCTGCTTCCTCCTGACCTCGAGAGGAAAAGTGTGTGAGATGCCCCCTCTGAGCAAGCTGAGCTATGTCAGGAAGCCAGAACTACTGCCCTCAGTGTTTTGTCTAGATGGTCCTGATGGAATTAGCAAATTCAGAATCAGTTTTGACCCATTTGATTCACTGCTCTGACCCCAGCATGTGCTCTGCTGCGTGCTGTACATCCTTTGCAGTGCCCCATGGCTGCCTGCAGAGCAGCACTCCTCATCCACCACAGCCTCCTCATTTTCTGCATACTATTTTTTATTCCCTTTGTCCTCTTTCTCTCGCATGTGCATACAGACACCTTTGAAACTTCTCAGCTGGCCAGTTTCCTACTTAACTGGTTTGCCTATTATTGCTTTCCAAATCACTTCCCTTTGCATTTGCCCTCCCTCAGGCCTTTTGTTATCAGCAGCTTTTCCTTCTTCATGTTTCTTTCAGGGACTATTTCCTTCCTCCTCTGTTGCTTCCAGATGCTCCCTGCTCTATCCACCCCTCCTACCCATCCGTTTATTTTTAAGCTCAATGCAACAGTTTTTGTCTCACACCACTGCATTCATTCCAGACCTCCCCAGCAGTTTTTAAAAGACATCCTACATCCAGCCTACCTTTGCATGGAGCTTATATTGTTAAATGTACTAAATGCTCTCGTCTGACTAGAGGGCGAGTAGAGTTAGGAGGGGACCTTTCAGACGGATCCCCCACATATTCTTTCTGTGGTCCAGATGTGGGCATTTGTGCTGACCTTCTCCTTAGCAGGCACATCAGACTCTCTCTTTTGGATAACTTCAGAGAGTGTGATTGCTGAGATCTGATCATTCCCTGATTTTTTACAAGGGAATTTTGCTTGCTATCAAGAGCTTTCTATGGCATTTGCTTTCAAAGGCATTTCATATCTGCTTGTATCTGCTATGGATTTTCAGTTCTCACATCCATATGTTAAGATGTAAATGAAAAAGGCAAAAAAGCCCTTTCTGATGCTAAGCTGTGGAATTTCAATAACCAAATATTTTTAAGGTGGTACAGGCAATGCCCGTCTGCTAATTCACAGCCTTATTTCCTTTCTGAAATCTCCATGGCACAGGAGATAGTTGCTGCCAGCATATGTAAAGAAGTTGGTTGTCATCCCTACCTTCTAAAGCTGTTCTTGAGTTTTTACTGCAGTGAGTGCTAAGAGTGTTTTCAATGTGAATATTATCAGTGTTTTCCCCACAGTTCTGCAAAGCCTTCTGGTCCTCACTTCAGTGTTGGCTAAGCTGTCAATTACAAGAGTGATGCTGTCATTACAATATTTGATTATTTTTTCTTAGAATAGCTGTCGTTGAAAGCACGTTCTGCATTTCATAAGGGAAATGGTTATTTGTTTCTTGCAGTGAAGCTGGGGGCAAGGCCAAGTAGTAGGTGTGGGAGAACTCGCTTTTGACTTCAGCACTGTGGTAGCATCAGGCAAACAAACTGCCACTGTGCTCACCCTGACCATGGGACAAGACCTGGCAGAGGGCACATCTTTGTATTGTCTTATACCTCCAGATGCACTTGCAGTGGACACTGTTGAGTGTTTTATTTGCAATATAGAAGTTAACTGACGATGTTTCCCTGAGCCTAGGGACTTGTCAGCTGATTATTTATTCCTTCATTACAATCAATGCTTTTTTGATTTGTTCATATAGTAAACATACAGTCCTCGGGGTCAGACTCCTCTTGCAGGCCTTACTATAACCAACTGTACTATTTTGATGAGAAAAACACTCAAAAAAAACCCCAATTCACCTTGTTTCTTCTCTGCCGTGGTTGCAGAGCCATTCTGCTATTCCCGTGCAGAGCTTTGCAGGCACCAGGTTTTGAGGCCTTGCAGAGCAGATAAGTGTTTGTCCCTGTGTTCCCAGCAAACAGTGACTGATGGACATCAGCAGCCCTGATGGACCTCAACAAAACTGCTGTTGAGTTTTCTATGCAGTGTTTCACTGTTGTTTTTCTTAATAGCTCCATACAGTTTCTGCCTGTCTTATGCTTTCTAAAAGTGGTTTGGCCACTTCACCTTTTGCTTTTGGCTGTTAAAAATCTTTCTGTATTAATCCCTAAAAGGGGCTCCAGCTGCTGTAGCGTGTATTAAGGACCTCAGCAATTGGATGAAGTGTTTTCCTGTCACTTCTTTGAGAAGCCACTTTTGGCTTCATGATCCATCTCATTCCTCTTGTCTTGCCTCACGTGGCGTTTTCCAGCATTGTTCTTTGTTTCATAGAGAACTTCTGCTGCTGCGTTCATGAGTATCATTTCAGAGAAGCTGATATTGTTGTCTCAACTCTTTCACACATAATCTAGATGACCTCCCCTACCCCGACTTGAGGTTTACTTGCCTGTAAGATGGCAGTGGTGGTTACTGGTTGATGGCATCCTGCAGGAAGATGTATGATCTGTAAATCAAAGCCTTGTAGTGCCTGATTTATTTTTCAGTTCAAATTGAAGTTGATTCTGTGCTTGTCTTACAGCCTTTCGCTGTCAGTTTGGTTAATGAATTAGGACTTTATTTGCTTTTTAGTTTAATCCTAAACCTTCCCATGCAAATTATGATTCCTTCTGGCCTCATTCAGTCTGTATCCAATGGTCATTCTGCAACTGCAGCTGTGAGAGCAGGGTAAATGTCACCAATCTTTTGCCGTTTTGATTTGCATAATGAAGACTGCTATTTGATTGCTTTTCCTCGCAGTGCTTGATTTTTCCCAACTGAAATCTCCCATTGTTTAGAGGAAGTCATGCCAGGATTTTCATTAGAGTCTGGAAACAACTACAGACCTGACCCTTCCACTCATGCCTGTACTTCTTTGTAGGTGTTTGCTGTCAGGTAAATTACAGTCGGCTCCCTAGATACCAGTGTATAAGCAATTCTTCTGACACACAAATTACTGAAAATTATTAGTTGTGTAGACACTGTACTACAACTTTAATCATCCACGTAACCTAGAGATTTCAGACTCCATGCAAACTTGTGCAGAGGTATTGCTGCTCCCAGCATGACTCTGCTGTTACAGATAAGTGCAGCTCTGGAGCAGCACACCAGCTGATGTTACATTGGTTTATAGATTCTAGAGCTCGTCACGGATCCTCTAGGTTTATCCAGTGCAGCATCCTTGGTGTTTGCTTGCATACTGAGATCACAGGTTTGCTGCCTCTCCCTGGGTATATCTCAGTCAGGGGCTGTGAGCAGAGCAATCTGGGTTCTCCTTGATGGTATCTCCAGTGCTTAGACAGCTCCATAGCCCTGCATCTGGGAGGCACAGTTTGTCTCTTCAGTTCTTACAAGAGTCTTGAGAACTAAACCGTGATGGCACAAACCTATGAAATTCTTTCAAATCAAATACAACCTTTTTATGACTTTACACATTCACAGGAAGATTTACTGCCTAAAATAGTCTGGTGGCTTCCAGTCAGAAGCCAGTAGCCCAAATCAAATCTCGTTACCTCAAATGAGAGGCATGCAAAGAACTTCTTGATCATGTGAAAAACTCTTACAACCAGAAGCAATGTGCTAAAACAGTTATAAAAATGAGCAAAAGCTAAAAGATAATTCAGGGTTGGTACTGAAACTCTGATTTCTGTTTGGATGAATGGGTGAAGTTCCACACTCCACTGATGACAATGTTGGTTTTCCTGCATCCAGAAATATCCACATGGGAGAACAGAGTCACTGTCAATCATTTCCTTCAGATCAGTGGACGAAAGACTAAGAATGAGCCAACTGCTGGACCTCAGTGTTAGAATCTCTAAATTACAGTGTGAGTGATAGAGGAAATGCTGTATATGGCTGCCTCTGCTGTGTACCTATTCTGTTTGGAAAGTGTTTTTCTTTCTTTCCCAGTGTTTGGAAAGAGCCCCCTTCCCCCATCCCTAACTCAGTGCTAAAGCATGACATTCCAGTTGAAGCTATGTGTGCAGCATCTGCTCTCCTCCCCCTTGTATCACATGCACAGACTATTTATAGCAGGAATGAATTTTTGTTCTTATGCATCATTCCATCCAGCAGAAAGCAAAACAGAAGGAGAAGCTGGTGCAGGAAAATGCTCTCTCAAGTCAGATTTGCAACAGAGAAAGGAGGAACAAGCTTTATGCCCTTGCAGTGCTCTCAAACCCCGCATCCAGAATCATAGGTTGGCCACTGCACGATGCCAAAGTACCTCTCGGAGGCCATCATAGCAGAGTAATGAGCACATGCGGGTTGAGCCAAGTGTATTTAGTTTTTAGAAGACTGGCATAAGTCATCTTTATTGAATATAATTTAGTTTTAACATATTGCTCTGTGCTTGAGTTATTATCTTCACTGTGCTTGGAGAAATAAATTACATTGAAGCCTTTATTTTTGACCTGTGACATCAATACACGCCATGGACGGATTCCAAAATCTTATCAGCTTTGGCATGGCTATTAAATTACAGTGGTGAACAAACCTCTTTAGAAATGAAAAATGCTTTTGGAGCTTTGACCTTTTACATTTCAATTCGTAAAGAGCCCAGTGCAAATGGGAAATGCTGATCAAAATCCAGTTACTTTAATCTTGCAGGGTGTCCTTTCTGCAGAAGAAAAGAACAAAATGTATCTTCTTGCTTTGCAGCCTTTCAGACCTTGATACCCAAGTTTGCCTGCAACTGTGAGATCTGGTGCTGGAAAGTCGTGTTTGTAAAGTACAGAACATGGTAAATCAGCCAAAGCCACAGAATTTCTAGAAAGAAACTTCCTCCGAGATAAAGATGTGAATTCAAACAGGACAAAGGCACACAGCTATTCCTCTAGCGCACGCTCTGTCTTACCTCATAGCAGCTTCCAGTATCTGAAGAGGGCCTATAGGGATGCTGGGGAGGGACTCTTCATGAAGGACTGTAGTGACAGGACAAGGGGTAACGGGTTAAAACTTAAACAGGGGAAGTTTAGATTGGATATAAGGAGGAAATTCTTCCCTGTTAGGGTGGTGAGGCACTGGAATGGGTTGCCCAGGGAGGTTGTGAATGCTCCATCCCTGGCAGTGTTCAAGACCAGGTTGGACGAAGCCTTGGGTGACATGGTTTAGTGTGAGGTGTCCCTGCCCATGGCAGGGGGATCAGAACTAGATGATCTTAAGGTCCTTTCCAAGCCTAACTATTCTATGACTCTATGATTTGATGTGCAGAGAGTACGCGTGAGGATGCTGCAATGTTTTAACCTCCTCTCCAGCTCTTCCCTCAGAGTGCACTGAGGCTTCTGTTTGAAAGATGGGAAATTGAACCAAAATGGGTATTTTATGTATTCTTCAGCCAGTTAGAAGTACGCCAAGATTTGGGTCGTTTTTCTCACTTCTCCCACTGTGGCTTCTGTCTTCACAAAACCACCTTCCATTTTCCAAAAACTCTGCCTTATTCCTTGTGCAGCAAATGGTGACATGAAGCCTGGAAAGTCAGATGGGGAATTAGACTGGGGTTAAAGGACAGAGTTTAGAAACCATATTGCAGAGCTCTGCGTGGAACATGCTGTAGATATACATCTCTGTAGCAAAACCAACCTGTTTATTATTCAGCATTACCCATGCTTTCTGCCTTCCTCTGCTCTTCTCAACCAGATGAAGCAAATGGTTTAGCTGTTCATGCTCACAGAGGTGGGACAAGGGTGTTTCCAAATCCCTGTGTGAAGCTGAAGACATGACATGTTACACAGCCTCTGTAGCACTTGGTGTGAAAATGAATTCCTTTCTCATCAGTTTTCCTGGCTAAGCTTGCTTTCAACATTATTTAATAGTGCTTTATGTATTTCTGACAGTTTTTGAAGAGAGACAATTTTCCTACTGATGGTGAGAACAAAAAGCACAAGTTGCATGCAAATTAATGAATACAACTGGACAAAGAGCCATACAAATTTGTTGTTCCTTATTAAGCTTTTAAAGCTATAGCACTACAGAGATGAAGAGGAATCGCTGGGTTGTTTGTGATGTTTCCACCCTAGGACATCCATCACTAATGCTCCTTTATATGCCACTTCAATCCTATATTACCTTCTCATAGCCAGTGAAAATGTTGACATTCAAAAGAAGGGTCTAGCTAGTTTCTTTTGCTGAATAAGAGAAAAGGTATGGACATAACTGCCTGGGGCATAGAAAGGTCCCAACAATTGTGAATGTTGAGAAGATGACAGAGAATACTGATGCACCAAATGGGACTTACACTTCTAAATGGGTAATTACAGGCCCATAAACTCACCAAGAGCAGGTTTGCAAATAATTTTGGTTGTTTTTTTTTTAATTGCAGGTACAATATTGAACCTAAACTTACAGCCAGTAAGTGGTTAACAAGTATTCAAGCCTGGTCTGTCAGCCAGACAGCTAAAATAAAGCACTGTGCTGCAGGAAAAGCCTAATGTATGTTAATTGAATGCCAATTGATTAAACATATTCGTTGAGGTTTCACATCTAGGTCATAAGTAATCTATCTATTACATACTTGTTAAACCTCATTAAATAATTGCCTGGTGGTATTTAACATGCAATAAGTATCCCCTGAAATTCAGCTAAAATGTATTCTTGCATCTGCTTAGGAAGTCGCCGAAGTGAATCGATGGAAGAATGTCAAAAAAGATGAATGTTAAACAGACCATCTGAAGTTTTTAAATAAAAGAGATGTGCTGTATGGTGGTGCAAGATATTCCAGTAAGTCTGCTGAAAGACGTCTAGTATCTACACAATTATCCATGTAATACCGTGCAGGGGGAACGGATTAGTGGCTACAAAGCTGTGTGTGAAATGGGAAGCTGGAGTCTGCAGGACAGAGGAAGAACTCTTGATGCCTGGGTAAGGAGAGATCCTGGAAGACTTTTCCAAGGTACAAGGACATGGTGTTGCAAACTTTACTTTTATAGGTGAAAAATGATTGCTGCAAATCTAAATGTTTATTCACAGGTACAAGGCTCATTCATGCCACTTGTTGCTTTTGAATTATTAGCGACATCTTGAGCGAAATTGATGTTACAAACCTCAGTTAAAGGCCCGTAGGGTCTGTGAGAGGCAGCCACTTTATATCGCACATTGCTCATTGAAGGCAGGAGTAATCTTAGGCACAGAGTTGAAAAGATTTGCCTAGAAAATCAATGGAGTACATCAGATAGCAAACTCAGAAATATATCTGCCCTTCATCTACGCCTGTGTCACGTAACTTGGTGTATGCACTGCAGCCTGATTTAGCAAACTCTGCTCCTCCAGAGCAGACACCACATCAGAACCTGAAAACTTTCCATTGCTGTTATCCAAGTACATTGGGCTGTCCTGAAGCCCTCATAACGAGCAGCAAACAAATACAAAAGGAAAGTTTATCAGCTACAGCTTCATTTCTGATGGGTTTCCAAGACATCTGGTTGGCACAAATGGTCAACGTGTGCAGTTTGCGATGCTTTCTTTGCTGTTGCTCAGTGTGTTGGACCAAGTTCTTGGCAGAAAAGGTTTTATTCTTCACAGGGTCTTCCTGAAGAGACTCTCTGAGCTCCACAACAGGGTGAAAATGCTCCTTTGCCTCCTCATCCCTCTGAGTTATTTCCAGTCCTGGGGGCATCTGAGAGGCAGATGACAACTCCACAGCACCTCTCCCATCCCACACAGACCTGATCTGGCAATGAACCTGCTTCAATCCACCCATCAGGCAGTTCAGAGACTGATTCCTAAAACCCCAGAGAGACAGAAGTGTGACCATGACTAAGAACCCGAAATATCTAAGGTTTTTCTGAGAAAGGTTTGGTATTTAATAGAGATGAGCTAGAAATTGGGCTGAAATGTGCTGAGTTTTCACCCAGCTTTTTATTCTTCTTATTATTAAGCTTGTAGGGAATTTCTATGCCAAAATTACAGCAAGAGGGTGAGAGCAAACACACGGGGGAGCACTTAGACTGTAATAGTCAGTAACCAAGTACTCAATACAGCCAATAGTGTACCTGAGATTGCCATTTCAGAGGAAAACCTGGCTTTTCCAAACTCGGGTTTTTTCCCAGAAACCAAAACTCCCACGTGGAGTTTTCTGATGCCAGGACCACAGGGAGGGTCACGTACTCTGTCTGTGCTCGAAAAGAGGAAAACTCTCAGGAAGTGTCAGTATCTTTAACCACAAAGAAGTGCTGCATTTTGAAGCCTGTTTGCATGAATTGCCATCTTTTATTTTACTGCCGGCTGTAGAGTTAGAAATTTATCTCAACAAGCCTTCTCATCTATTTTAGGTTGCCTATTTGCCATCACTGGCATGCTGCTCAGCAAACCTCCCTGTTTGGAAAGGTACCTCCTGAAATACGGTTTTGAGACTGAAGTGGGTGTTTAAAGGGTCCACCATGCAAAGGAAGCACTTAGCCTCATAATAGATTTCCTGTATTTGCAGACTTTTTGTCATGTTTACTCAGTAAACATTTGTGACAAAGATTGAATGATTTAATTTTGTCAGTGCTTGCAAAGATAGGCAATTCAGGAACATTGCTTAATGCACAGCCAAAACATAGAAACACCCATTACAGAGTTTTGTATAATTGAGTTTCTATTTAATGGTGTTTGTGCTCCTGTTTTCAAGCTGGAAATGTGATATATGCCCACGCTTCATTAAAGGTGTGTTGTAAGGCCGTTAGTAGCGATGATGATCGTACTTTGAGTTTCTTTAATTTCTGCATTATTAAGGGATCCCTTCCTCATTCTCGTATAACAAACTCCAGAATTATCCTCACAGAGGGAAATACTTCCTTCCCTCTGCTGTTCCAGGAATAACTCTTACCTTTTTGCAGCCATCAGCTCTACCACAAACCTCTTTGTTATACCCAGTGGAGCATCTCCTTCATCCTCCCCAGCTTTGCTCACCACAAGGGACTGGAGAGTGCTGCGTTTAATAAGACCCAAGAGAGAACAAAGGAGGAGGAAAAAGTTTCTTATGCACATACACGTACACACAGTAAGGAAATAGCACTGGAGACAGCATTCCTCTGCCACTATGTTGGAACAAAGAAGTGATTCATAACTGAGGCTGGGGAAGAGTGTGGGTGAAGGGAGAGGAAGGCAGGAATTTTTATTACCTATTAAAGTGAGGAGTTAAATTTTGTCATTGAAATCAGTACTATTTGACTTATTTATGTATTTATTGGCTTATGCAGGTGGTGAGTGTTGTGGTCCTTGGAAGTTACAGGCAGGTTCTTGTGCCTACACAGCCTCCCTGGATGCTCATAAGGCTGCGTGTATGAACATTTCAAATGGCAAATAACAGTAAGTGTCCTTCTAGCACTGATATTTATTTACAGTCAGTAGGGTTAATGGAAACTTGGTGTTACGATGATTTAAGAGGGGATTTTATTGCAAAATAGAAAGATATTGCAGTACCTGCATGCATCACATGGATAGATGAAAAAGTCTTTGTAATTTAGTTGCTATGAGTGGGTTCAATGTACTTAACAAACAAAAAAGTCAATATTGTGATCTGCATTATCCAGACATGGAAATAGAGCCGAAAGATGCTACTTCTGTGACCATAAGTCAGGAGCAAACACACCAGCTTGCTTATGCAGTGCCAGGCGCACAGTGTGCTGCAGGAGTCTCAGCTACATAATATCTGTGGAGTTCTCATATTAGGAAACACCTGGCAAGCAAGGAGAAACAATACTCACGTTAATCAAATAAATGAACTAAAAATATGGTAGTTATAAAATGCTGCTTAATGTTATCTCATGGACAAACCCATACTGTTCTGTGAAAAAATAATCATTTTTCTCTAATCTATTACACTTCCTCATGTTCCTGCAGCAGTGTGGAGAAGGTTTTCAACAGTTTCCATCTACAAAGATGTTTTAAATAGTCTCCTACAAACGTTTCTTGGGAGAGTGATCAGCTACATGTGCATCGTTTCTCTTCCGAAGGAAGGAGTAATAACCATGTCAGGGTAAGACTGGTGCTGCGATGCTCCAGACCAGCCCGATCATTGAGCCAAAATAATGATTTTGATTGCCAAAAGCAGCAATAAAACTGAAAATCATTTCGGGAGTCTCTTGAAGAGCGAGGTGGGCTACACTTCAGGGCCCAGCTCAGTTGAAGTAAGCATAAGGTGAAGCATACTGAAAGGAAAAAGAAACCCAATTTAAACTACTCATATGTGACGCTGGTGTTAAATTAACTGTAGGTAGTCAGGAGAGGAACAAGGTAACATTTCCAACAGGCATTTATTTAATAAGAAATGGTGGCCATACAAAATGTTCATTTGTATAAGAAAAAGCTAGCCGAAAGCACAAAATTATTGCGTATCTTTAACATGAAGTGACACCTCAGCATGGATACTTTGCTCAGCTTTGCTTTCCAGTCTTACAGAAGGATAGAACAGAAATGAAAAAGGTCTAGGGAAGGTAGTGAAAATGATTAAGGGAATAGAAAGCCGCAGTGTGTAGAGAGATTAAAAGATTAGAACTATATATCTTAGACGTTAGAGGAATAAGGGGTGATGATAGATATAAAAAATAACAAAGTGTTTAAAGAAGTTAAGTCAAGAACTCCTTTTCCTTGAGTAAGAAGCACATGAAATTAAAAAGCAACTAATTTTTTTAGACCTTTTTTCTATACTTAGCAGCAGGGTAGCAAAGCTCAGCAGAAGACTGGCATCTGTATGAATGATGTCTAAGTGTACATAAGGAGTACTGACCTATAAAAACCATCAGGGTCATGAGCTCAGCCCAGCCACAAGTTTCTGAAGTCTGAATGAAGGTATCTTAGTTCATTAATGGATTTATTGCTGAAGCAGCAGGCAGAATGACTTTCAGAAAAAAATACGATTTTATGTATCTCTGTACTGAGATAGAGATCAGGGTTTTTTTCCTTTATTTCTTTGGAACTAATGAAGTAGAAACGTCTCTATGTGAAATCTACAGGAACAGGAATTATCCTCTGCATGTTTCAATAGAGATCTTATTCAAATAAAGCACCACACCTTTGCTAGGAGACTGCTGCAATTGCAACAGGACAGTGAGGAAGAGCTTTCTAAAACGAATCTTCAGCTGACTGCTCCTGGTCCTGTCTGGAGCAAAATCAAGCAGCTCAGTGTGTGCTGGCTTCAGCTAGTGCTGGGACAGGTGAAACCTTGGGTACCACAGCCCAGCTCCAAGGAGGGGAAGTCAAGGGAAGTCTGGGCTTCACAGGCACAAAGTAAGGAATCGCGTGTTCAGCCTCATAATGAGGAACCTGGGCAGCTCCCCTGACTCTTCTTCATGGATGCTGGCGACCGATGGGAGGCGCTGCCATCAGCTCAGAGTTGAAACAGAAAGCTGGTCCTACTCTCTGCCACTTATTAAATTATATTTCACTGAAGCAGCAGCAGTCTGGGCTGGGCATTTCCAGGGGATTGTTACACTTCTGAGATGGTTAATCACTTGCCCTTTGACCTCCTGCCTTATAACTCTGCTTGACATGTACTATAATTACTGCTTGGAGAGTTTTATTACTTAATTATGCTATCAGCTATTGCAATTTAACATGCCATCAATCTCTCCTGACCAGCCCCTCTTCTACCCCAAACAAATCTCCCCTTTCCATCTCACTTCTCTGAAAATTTCTACAAAGTAAGGCCCTGCACAATTTGTGCTTTGATCAATAAGGTGTAAAATTTCCTAATGTACGAAATACTTGCCTGTTTTCTCTTTCTCTCCCACTCCTCCGCTTCTGAGCCTTTTGATTTCAGACTTCTATAATCTATAGAGTCACATTTACCAGTGCTAGCATAAAGCAGCCAAAGTGCCTCATTCTTTTTACTATGTCTCCTAAAACCAAATTAAGACTCCAGCAGACAAGCTGTTGGCTCATGTGAGCATCTGCCTGGCACTTTGTGGGCTGCCTACAGAGCACTGAACCACTGCACTGTGTTCTCCCATGGACCAACAGAGCAGCCTTTTTCCAGCCAGTGCACGTTTGCTCAAGTCATGAAACATTTCAGTACACTTTAAAGACCAGCTTTACTGCTGTGGTGTCACTGGAGGGAGATGAAGAAGACATTGCTATGCCATTTGGGAGAGTTTGGTTTTGGGGAAGAGCTCTCAGCCACCTACTGTTTCTTATCCTGTGGACCTTCTATAAGAAGAAGCATGAGGCTGAGGTTCTGTAGTGGTTCCTGAAAGCAAAACACAGTGAAATATGATTTCAAACCAAGTTGGCTCTCATCACCAGTCCCCAGTGCAAGGGTGCACTGATTTATGACAACCTCCCAAAGCTGCCTACAGACTGCTTGACAGCCCAGACAGACACAGATTCTTAATAGCATTCAGTGCAGACCCATCCCCTTCCACCTCCAACATCTCCCCTGTACCAGGACCAGAGCTTGAGATAAATCTGCTGTGCCTGCCCCAAGGGAGTTGTCTCCCAGCCTCCTGCAGCTTGTAAGGGTTGTTTCAGGAGATAGAATTAGTACCTTGATGCTCAGTATTGATCTCTGTTTGATTTATATTTCCTTGATCTGATTTTCTTCTTGGCGTCATGAGTATAAATCAAAAGTAACACCCACAAGAGGCAGAAGTTATGCTGGCTATAAACTTGTGTAAGTGAGATTGAGGTTCCTTAACTCCAGCCTTTCCTAGTGAGAAGGGAGAACAGTTTTTAAGATCAGCTGTATGGCTCATAGGAGGACAACATAGCCAGGCGCTGCAGATTGCAGTCTCCAGCCATTCTTTCAAATTACTTCTTGAACCTCGAGTTCAGGGGAATGAATTCCTGGATCTCTCTCCTAGAGTTAGTTTTTACCCTTGAAACATTCTTATTTTCTACATCCAGCAGTTCTCCCTTTTGGACTTCCATGTGGGGATGAATAAAGGTTTTCTTGTGGGATGTGAGGAGAGAAGTTAGTAGGGACAAGACAGATCCTTTTGCAACATGATTTCCAATGCATGACCATTCTGTATTGAGATAGCAGCCCACAAAGACATCAAAACTCTGCAATCACTTTTCATTTCCAAGGGGGTCCGACATCTAACATTTCTCCTCCAGATTCCCTGGCCACTCATAGCTGTAACCAAGGGATTAATAAGGCCTTGAGATTCTCCTTACGAAATTTGGTCCATCTTTCTAAGACCACTTCTAAAACATCTATTAATTTATTCTGAAACACTGTTATGGGCTGAAGAGCTGCTGCTTAATGAAAAGAGGAGGAAGAGTGGTCTACATGCGCTATTTTTCTTTGTCGTGGCATATGCACGTAGGGTTGATGAAGGTCTGCAGGGAGCAGGCTGTGGAAGTCCACTCCAGGTAATAGAACCGGTGTGAAAGATTTATAAAGGAGAAAGCTTCCAGGGGGTCCCCAGGCAACGCTCTGCAGCAACCCGCGGCTCCTGATGTGACTGATGGAAAAAGTAAGTGTATCTGAGCAAAGGCCGTGGATCATAAAAGGCTTTGTAGACAAAATGGGACTTCTTAATTAAGTTCTGTGCTTTCACATCGCCAGGAGGGAGGACTGCTTGATTGTCAGCAGTGAGCATACAGCCTGCTCCTCTTTATGTCTCCTTCAGGCCCAGGTATTCTTCAGCAGCTCCTCGACACTCTGACAAAGCACAGAGAGAGCTTGGAGTAAAAGCATTGCAAGACTTTTAAAACTTTTATTTATTTTTAAATCAAACAGTTAAAAAGCAGGTAGCTGTGGGTGTAGAGCAAACTACTCATATAGTATTGGTATTACCATAACTTGTTTAAATTTGATCTGGAATATAAATGGTCTGAATTTACAATACTTGCTTGGGGAATAATCCCAGCCTTTTTTTAGTCCTTTACCTTGAATTATTGACTATTGTGCTTAGCTCTCAGGTGATGGAATAAAGTTGTTAGAAAAATGTGTTTGCATGCCAGTGCTCTGAAACCATACCAAACCCAGTCTGGTTTTATAACTTTTACACCAAGCTCTGAGAGAGCCCTTCACTTGGGATTAAACACACAGCCT